GGTGTATATATACATATATATATATATATATATATATACACAAAATATGATTATCAAGATCAGCAACGTATAGTGCTTAATGCGAATGCAGAGCGCAATAATAATAATAATAATAAAAATAATAATACCTCCATTATCTTCCTATCCACTCACTCCTGAAGATTGCTACTGCATGAAACATCTGTGGAGTAAATTCACGCTTGACATACCTTTCTGTTACTATTATTATTATTATTATTAAAATCATTATTAATAATATTTCCTGCGAAGCAGCCAATTCATATTCTTGACAGCAATTTGACCTCTGAAAGGTCATTGTTTGTCAAAAAAACAAGAGCCTAAGACGACTGAAAAGCGGAGTTTCCTTCTTTCGTTCTGCCGGGTAAAATCAATTACTTTAGGCGACGTTTGCAGACTAACCTACTCGTACCAACGTCCGCATGTTGCGCTAGCCTTATCCTACTCTAGGCATAGACTTGCTAGGATGGTATAGGCCTAGCCTTGAAGGGACGAAGGTCCCAATGGAAAATAACGTCGCTCCTTGATAGCTAACATTGTCTATTTAACATAAATAATTCATTTTTAGACCTATAGTTGTTTTTTGAATTGTACTCCACAAATCTTAGCCGATACCTCGCACAACTCGTTAACCTCTCTTATCTATTGTCGTGACGTCATGGCTCGCTGGCTCACACTTGTGATGTTTTGCACTTGTGATCAAATAACACGCTGGCTCGCACTTTGGCAACACTCGTTGGCAGTCAATTAGCCCCTAGAAAACCCGCCCTTGGAAACTTGCCCCATAAAAAAATGTACACTTCCTAGACCATACAGTCTTCAAAATAAAAATTGTAACCTTTGGTAATCAACTACATTTTCCACATACATAGAAAATTTTGAAACTTTATTACAAAAAACCTAAACCATAATTCACCACTATAGACACTTTTTGACAAAAATGAAAAATTACGACTTTGTTACCCAATGAGAAGTGTTCTAATATAGACAATGGGTCGTGTCTCGTATTATTTGTTATATTTTTATTATTCATTATTTTCACTTGACTCGCATAAATAATTTTGTTCAGAGAACATTTATATGCAGTTGTACTTCGCAGCACTTCACTTGCAATTTCTAGTATATTATATATTACTGTATTGTATTCTTGTTATTTCAAAATTTTTTTTATCATTAAAATGAATTACATTATTAGTACTGTTATCAGGGACGTATCCAGGAGGGAGTCGTGGGAGCAGCGGCTCCCCCCCCCCCACCCCCTTTGTACACAGTGTACAATTTTTAAAGCTTTTTTTTGAGCCAATACAAATTATTTTCTGGGACCACTCAAAATGAATACTTCTAAAATACGTAAAAATGCATCAGTACTCGTTTTACATAGGCCTGGCCTACTATAATTATAACACATGTCTAAGCATGATTTATAAAAATCCATAAATCCCATGGCAAGTCTTTTAAGATACAGAAATGTGATACTGTATGGTTCAGTTTGGTTTTTACCCTTTTGCAAGCTTCTTTAAAGTTAGGCCTATTGTTTAATAATACTATACTATTAGTAATAATAATAATAATAATAATAATAATAATAATAATGATAATAATAGTAATTCAATTCAATTCAATAATAATAATAATAATATTAATGGTGGTGATGATGATAATGATGATGATGATGATGATGATAATTAATAGTAATATTAATAATATTAAAATGTGAAGGAAATTGTGCTAAAGGCAAAAAATAAAGTTGTGATTTGTTGATGATAATATTATAGTTAAAGCTTATATAGTAAATTATAGTTAGGTCAAGTTGTCCTGGATATCAAGTAGATCCCTGATAAAGTACATGAGAAATTTGTTGGCGTTCCATTTTGACTATGTAATGGTGGTGTGATGATGATGAATTTTACTACGTGAAAGTGTGATTTCCGGCCATCTAGAGGTACTACTTCCTCAAATTTTCTCACCTCAGCCCCAACTATGGTGGGGCTGAGGTGGTTGTGAAATCACGGTTTTGAAGTATGTAGCACACTCAAAGACAATGTTTTTAAGCTTTGTTTTCTATGGTATATCACACACATTAATAAGATCTTTTTGGTTGCAGAAAATCCCTGATAAAAAAGACCATGAGATTTTTTTTTTTTTTGGCGCTTCATTTGGACTACCGGTAACGGTGATGTGATGATAATGAATTTTACTAAAAGTGTTGTTTCTGGCCATCTAGCTAGAGGTACTACCGTATTTCCTCACATTTTCGCTCCTCAGCTCCAACCATGGTGAGTCTGAGGTAGGTGCTAACTCACAAAATGTCCTCCCCCTCAACCTTAAAAAACAGGTCTGCGCCCTTCAGGGTATGACATTAAACTGCATCGAGTCGGCACCTGACTCAGAGTATGTCTTGTGACTGCTGAGAAGAGGGGGCATAAATTTGTTTTTAGAATGTGATCTGGTTTTTCATGCCCCTTTTTCGTGATTATAACTATTTTTAAAATGATAATTTTTTTTTTTTAGGAAAAAAACAAAAGGAAAATATATTCAAATTTAAGTATGAAAGTGTAATTTCCCGCCATCTAGAGGTGCCCTAATCATATATTTTCTTACCTCAGCCCCAACCATGGTGGGGCTGAGGTGGGTGGTTCCTCAGTCTATGAAAATCCCTCCCTGCGACACATATCTTTCGAATTCATGGATTCTGATGATTTATTATAATTATTGCTGGGCCTACTAACATTATTTATGATGTGTCTAATACAATTGTCGCTTTATCCTCTCAAAACAGTCCTTAAAACGTTCAGAGTGCGCTACTTCACAGGGGGAGGTGTTCGTCCCCCTGGACCCCGCCGGGGTCGTACGTATCTCGCATAACGGCTCCCCTCCCCCCCCCCACTTCAAAATCCTGGCTACGTCCCTGACTGTTATATAATATTATCTATATTATTATTACCACTATTAATTTAATTTGTATTATCATCATCCGTTATCATCATCCTCATCCTATTCGTCATCATCATTCTCATTGTTGTTTAATCATCATAATCATCCTTACTGTCATTGATCGTTGTAACCATCACCATCATCCTCATCACATCATACTCATCCATCGTTATCGTCCTCATCATCTTCATAATCTTCATCCTCCTCATCCTTCATCATTTTCTTCATCATCATCCTCATCATCATATTCATCCTCATCCATCATCATCCTCGTCATCATCAATGGCGTAGCCAGCTATTGGGAAGGTTGGGACAGTCCCACACCATTTTTCTAATGGGTTCACAAAAAAATGAGTCAACATTTTAAAAATTGGTCCAAATTATGCAATTTTATGCGTAAAATGGATCCAGATTTCTCATATTTAGCTAAAAATGTGTTAAATTTTAAGAAAATGGGTCCAGATATTTAATATTTTTGCGTAAAATGGGCCCACATTGTTTGAATTTACACGTAAAGTGGGTCCACCCTGATATTGTCCCACACCGTTTGAAAATCTGGCACTGATCCTCATCTATCATCGTCACCCTCATCACCATCCTCACCAATCATTGTTATCATCATCACCATCACCTTCATCTTACTAATCATCCTCATCCATCATATCCTCTTTATCCTCATCATCATCAACCTCATTATTATCCTCCTTATCATCATCACTCAATCATCATTCATCATTATCATCCTCATCATCATTGTCATTCATCATCATCATCCTCATTACAATCATCATATCATCATGATCAGTCATCATCCTTATTAATCATCATTATCAATCATCCTCACCATGCGGATGATGATGAAGAGGAGGAGGACGACGACAAGAATGAAGATGAGGATGAGGGGCAGAGGAGGCTGTTTCTCATCATTCATCATCATTAACCTCAACATCATTCTCATCAATCATCCTCATCATTATCACGATCATCCTCATCAACGACCATTATCATCAATCATAATCATTATCATCCTTATCTTCATCATCATCAAACTCGTCATACTAATCCTCCTTATTATCATCATTATCCTCACCATCATTATCGGCATCATCTTCCTCCTCATCATCATCCATCATCATCTACCCCATCATCTTCCTTCTTCTCATCAACCGCATCATCCTCATCCTCCTAATTATCATTCTTATCTTCATCACCATAATATCATCATTACCATCATCCTCATTGTTATCATCATCCTGATTACTGTCATTATCATCATCGTCATCATTAAATCATAATTTTCATCATTATCCTCTTCATCATCAGTCACCATCATCATCATTAATGATGAGGAGGAGGAGGACGAGAATGAAGATGAGGACGAGGGTGAGGATGAGAGGCATGATTTTCATCATTCATCATCATTAACCTCATCAACATCATTCTCATCAATCATCCTCATCATTATCACGATCATCCTCATCAACGACCATTATCATCAATCATAATCATTATCATCCTTATCTTCATCATCATCAAACTCATCACCCTAATCCTCCTTATCATCATCATTATCCTCACCACCATTATCAGCATCATCTTCCTCCTCATCATCATCCATCATCATCTACCTCATCATCTTCCTTCTTCTCATAAACCGCATCATCCTCATCCTCCTAATTATCATTCTTATCTTCATCACCATAATATCATCATTACCATCATCCTCATTGTTATCCTCATTCTAATTACTGTCATTATCATCATCATCATCATTACATCATAATTTTCATCATTATCCTCTTCATCATCAGTCACCATCATCATCATTGATGATGATGAGGAGGAGGACGAGAATGAAGATGAGGACGAGAGGCATGATTTTCATCATTCATCATCATCATCATTCATTCTCATCAATCATTTTCTATCACCGTCCGAAGCCACGACGAGGTCGCCACACCACAAATAATGATTTGCTTATCCATATAACATTGTTTTGATTGGCAATCCCTAATATTTTGGCTTTAAAGCAAAATTTGTGCCATACCAAGCTAAAAAAAAACAAAAAACTCTCCCATAAGCCCAGGGATGTTTATTCCGGGACTTTGAACGCGGGTCTAGTCGGCTCTGTGTTTAGATCCACCCTCAGACTCCCTGGGGGCCACACTGAACCACTATAATGGGTAAGTATTTAAGTAAGGTCCTGTCAGTTTTTACAGTTATAGAAAAAAAACTAAAAGTGACTAAAAACATAAACATGTTTCCCATACCCCGATCCAAAAATTGGTATGCCTATTTTAAAGTAAAATTTCACAATTTCGTTTTTTTCATTTAATTTGTAGTAGTTCATTAATTTTATATAGGCCTATATTTTATTTTATTCCTGTATGTATAATATTGTATTGAGATTGCATTGTACTTTGATAACAATAAAATTATTTTTACATTAAAAACATAGTTTTCCCCACCATAATGGACGCCATCTTGGAAATTGTCAAGTCTAGAGACCACGGAAAAATTAATTCCGGGATTGAAGAGCTTTGACACACCTGGGTTCGGGAAAACAAGCAGGCATTGATGAGTGTTCTTGAACAATAGGAAGACAGAGAGCCATACAAGTAATGTGTTGCACATTTGTATAATGTATTGCACATTTGTATAATGTATAGTACCAGTACAATACTTCTTCTTGAATCGTGTCATAGCACAAAGTACTCGGTGATGAACTAAAATTTATAGGAATTTGCTAAATAACCGTTGCACACTTTGGTTTAATAATCTTAAAATGATGTCACTATTGATTGTCTAGTTGTTAGCTGAGGACTTTAATAAAACAATCATAATAATTATTATAATAATAGGCTTACAGTACTTAAATATTTGTAATGCACCGATTTCAAGTAAATTATGGCACAGTAGGTATATCTTGAGCAATTTTAGTATGTTCACAATCCTAGTTCCTATTAATAAATTAAATGAAGGAAAGCTTTTAAAGCATTTAAACACTGGAATGGCACCCTCTAATTTCTCCATAAAGCATTGTAGCAAACAATGTATGATTTTATTTTTGAGTTGTGTTTTGACTTAATATTACTATAAGCTGAAAATTGAAGCAGTTGTCACATTACTAACAATGGTATCATTATTCTGGGTATATTAATTAGCCAATTAGTAAAAATGCCTTTATTATTTTTTAAAGTTGAATTACAGCTTTCTAATTTATAGTACAATAGAACTATCCTTGTCAGCTTCAACTTCAACCAAAATCGTAATGGTTATTATTATACAAAACATGGTTACTGTATATGGGATTATGCATACATATATAGAAACTGAAATATTAACCTACCAGAATTTTTTTTTATAGTATATTTATTTTAAAATATGTATAATTATGTAATATCAGAATCATATAGCGATTTATATATTATAATAGAAAGTTAATTTTAAAGTGGTTTTTCACCACATACTGAAACTCAAGGCACGGGCTGATGAAGAGAAAAATAGGAACAAATTAAATACTGTTTTTTTGTTGTTTTTTTTTTTTATATTAACACTGCTCTTAAAGAGACTCAAGGAGTTAATCTGGAGTTTATCTTGTCCATCTGAATCTACATTTTGCAATATGTATCACTTTCTTTCGAATTTCTTTTCTGTATTTACTCGAATATACGCCGCTTTTGGAATAAACACCTCCCCATTTACAGATTCAGATATTTATTACGTCAAAATGTCAGTGCATCATGATAATTGGTTTCCACGGTTCAAAATACAAATAATACTTATTCTCTGGTAAATACAGTACTTGGATATGACAGTGTTAAATATTGATTTCATTGAATTGAATTAAAAAAGAAAAATTGCACATGTACAGGTATATGAGTTGTGAGAATTATACTTGGGGCCTATACAAACTTGATTTACAATTATTACTACATGGTTAATGAATATTCTGCAATAAGATGCATGGCCGGCGGAACCGGGCCCAACTTTTTGGCAAAAAACATATTATGTCTGGAGATTTTTGGATGATCGGAAAGAAATGCAAGAGAAGAAAGAAGGAAGGAGGAGAAGGAGGAGAAGGAAGGGAAAGAGAATGTTTATCCACTCCCCGACCGAGTTACATTTTCTCGCAATGCACATTGGCGGATCTAGAGGAGGAGGGTCATGGGTCCTGACCCTTCCCTTGGGCAACAAAAAAAAGGGAAAAAAGAATTCTAGACCTACCTTTTCAGGACCCGTGAGCTGTTTTTTTGGTTTTTTTTTTTTTATTTTACAATAAGGAAATTAGAATTTTGAAGAACATAAAGTCATTAAAACACACTAATGTCGGGAAAGCTTATTTATCTAGGAATAAAAATTTTCACAGACCACCCTTTCTTTTTGGGATTTATCGATTCATGGAAAAAAAATACGCATGTAACTACTCAATTATTTATGTATGTATACACACATAAAATAAAAAATGAGAAAAACTTACCTGACCGTCTTCAAGAGGGAAAAACCTTGAATTTTGAAGAACTTAAAAAGTCATTTAAAAGACATTTCCGAAGTCAGGAAAGTTTATTTCCCGCATTCTAGAAATCGAAATTTTCCCAGGGGAACCCGGACCCCCCATTTTCTTTGGGGTTCATCGATTCATTGAGTCATTTTCAAGAGGGGGAAATCTTGAATTTTGAAGAAATTAAAAGTAATTAAAAGACACTTCAGAAGTCGAGAAAGCCCATTTCCCGCCTTCTAGGAATCAAAATTTTTCCGGGGGAACCTGGAGACCTTTTTCTTTCGGGTTCATTGATTCATTGAATTATTTTCTGGTGGTGGAAAACCTTGAATTTTGAAGAAATTAAAAGTAATTAAAAGACACCTCAGAAGTCGGGAAAACTCATTTCCCGCCTTCTGGAATCAAAATTTTCCCGGGGAGAACCTCCGGACGGGTATTGCTAAACCCCGCATACCCCGCAAACCTCCAAAAAATCACCGCAAACTCCATCCAAACCTTGTGATAATGATTGAATCACATAGTATAAGGACTCAACTTGGTATCTCAATTTTAAAAAAATCATAATTTTATGTTCGTCACAACCTATTTTTGGGGAAAAAAGGCAATTTTTTTGTATAAAAAAATTGCTAAACCCCGCAAACCCCCCAAAACACAGTGCAAACCCCATCCAAACCCTGTGATAGTGATTGAATCATGTAGTGTAGGAATCGCTTCTTTTATCAGTAAAAAAAATTATAATGTTCCAGTGTTTATAATGGCAAATGTTGCAATATAGAAACACCTTTTGGTACAGTAATTTGTGAATCAATCAAAAACAGTTAATGAATTTATAAAGACTGTATACTTTGTGTACTGGTATAGAACTTTAGTTATACATTTATACTTTCAGCTTTCAACTTTCCTTTATTGACATTCATCAAAACAAAATGATATGGTCAAATTGTATACAAAAGGTATTGAAATTAGACATGAAATATTATGGTACAAAAATGTAATAAAAATGAATACATATAAAAGAATACAAAGAGGCCGACATCAACTGGATGCAGCAACAAATGTGGAGACAATGTAGGCCGCGAGAGGGTGACATCCCCCAGATGCGGCAATGGCTCGCTGCAGCTCAAAAACCAGATCAGGCCAGCGCACTGTCATCACATCCAGTAGCAGATATCCGCCTCCAATAATACATTTTTTTTAAATTCCTAAATAATATAATGCACTTATAGAATATTTCATATATAACAAGTTTGGCACAATAAACATGCTTGAAAGTATAACTGAATATTTGATTAACTACTGTATATTGAAATAAGGAAATTTTTAAAAATAAGTTAATATGGGACACACAGTTAAGCCACAGTGTTATATGGACAGTTCTATCAGTACATAATTTTTCCTCGTCAAGTTTTTTCTTTGAATTTAACTGCATCAAGTACTAAAGACATACTGTTTTTCTAGTTCAAATATATGTATTATATATTTTGGAAATATGAACTTATAGTTTTGTTCCTTTTTTGTACTATTGGCTCAGTCTGCACAACATTTGAGAAGGTGTCTCAAAGAAAATTCAACCAAATTGTATATAAATATACAGGATTTTTAATAAAACAATAATTAAAAAACACCATTAGATATAGTTTACTCTAAAAACCTTGATTAACTTTTCAGAAGTCCATTTAGTAACAACACCTTGTAAATAATAAATATGCAATTATTTCAAAGTATATATAGTTTGCCATTTTTGTATGTTTGGAATTATCTCAAAAGTCAGTTAACATTCAAGATGTTTTGAAGTGGAAGTTGATTTTCACAAGAACAGTAAAATGATTAATATTTATATCAAAGGTAGTTGTGATATACTCAGCTACAAATTTATTAATGAAAGTACTTGTAAAAAATGTTAATAAAATTAATTCTTAGAGAAATCCTAAATCAATTTTTTAGAATGTTCAATGAGACTTTTTCAAAATAGATTTCAATACAAAATTATTGTGATAATTATATTATATTATTGTCTCATTTGTATCGTTTGTGCATGTTTTAATGAGGTTTTGCAATGCATTGTTCACTTTGAATTATACTACATATTATTTGTGCTGATGTCAATTTTCAATTGATACACTCTACATTTACGTTACTTTTACATCTTTCCAGAATGTATAGAAGTAAACAGATAATTTTGATTAGTGTTGTTAGTGTTTAATATAAACTATATAAATCCCAGAGGTATAACATGTTAAAAATATTCCACATTGTGTTTAACTAGAAAAGCAGAACAAAACCTTCCTTAATGTTTCAAGAATAGACCTCCTTTTCACATTATTGAAATTATTTTTGACATTATAATGATGAAAAGAACATTTGTTAAATTTACATTCAGAAAAGTTGGAAGTATAACATATCAATTTTATGTAAACCAATCAACTGATTTGTTTAATAGGATATGAGAAAAATAATTTGATTGCTTAATTAAAATAGGAAGTATGGTTTATCCAGTAAAGTTGAATGTCTTATAGGCCTATATTTGAAATATAAGTTTTACTGTAATATAGTTTTTCATTCATGTCATTGCATTTGTATTTTTTACATAACACATACATTACAACAACAACAAATATGTTGGAGAAATGTAAACGTAAATTTAAGACATTTTGTGGGAAAAATTTATAATCATTGCCAGCAGCTATGAAACATTGTAAGTGTGGATAGTTTGAAACTATAATATTATCTATATAATAATTACGCTTATTATAAAGCCTACGGACACAGTGCAGAAAAGAGGTACTCAATGCCTGGGGATTCGAAACCTGTTGGTCTAAAACAATTGCTTATATACAGCCTTAATACTGAATTAACATCAGCTTACGTGTCGTGACACGTAGCCTTACGCAAATACAGTAATTTCAAAATAATTGATCAGGCCAACACCAGTTATCAACTTAAAATCAAAGAAGCCCTAAACATAAAATGGACGAATCCTTCCCTCCACAAACAAGTTCAATATTACAACATAACACTCGGTATACAATTAGACTACTACATCACAACTTAACTCTAATTGGTCCAATATAATGAATACATTACTTTTATTCTACGTGGCAACAAACAAGTACTAGACAAGCCTTAACTCTAATTGGTCTAATGCAATGAACACATTACTTTTCTACTACATGGCAACAAACAACATTTAGGCTACTTGTCAGGACACCTGAACTAATGTTCATTCCGTATTCAGGCTGTATATAAGAAATTCTTTGTTCAGTAATTGTTCTTAGCACCGATGACGCCTGTAGGAAACAGGGAAATTTAACATGTTTACAGTAGAACCCCTATTAAGGTGACATCTTCGGGACTAAAAAAAGTGTCCTCTTAATAGGGGGTTCCCTGAATAGGGGAGTACTATTCTGGGGACACTAACCAAAAATGTTAAAATATTATGAGTTTTTGGCATATCCTCATACAACGATAACATACATTCTGCATAATTTTATTTTTAGTGACATAAGAAGCAGCTAAGTACAGTGTAGAATTATTACTAATTTATAGTAACGATTTGCAAATGCAAAAACATTTCATATCAGCACTGTATGATTTCCCAACGTCAAAGTCGGGGTTTCCCTCGCTTTACTGTACCTTTTGCTTGTGTTCTTAAGCAAGGCACTGCATGGGTTCTCTCCACCCAGGAGTATAAATGTGTACCTGTTGGGGTTGCCTACTCCCAGTGGCGTATCTAAGGAGGGCGCGAGGGCTCAAATCCCCCTCCCCAAAAAGATAATTATGTACCCCCAC